GGGGGGGGGGGGGTGATTACTGCGCACAGTGAGAATACCATGAACTAATAGAGGGTGGGACATCCCATGGTGCATGAGGTGGATATTAGAGGTTGACATGATGAAAAATGGGAAATGGTTTTGAATACTCCCTGGTTAATGTTTCTTGTGGACGACTGGAGCACGTCTACACTGACTGTGGGTGTAACTCATTATGAAGCAGTTTGAAACGTCATGTGAATCCTACGATTGGTGAAGTTATCTACAGGCGCTTCAAGCTTTTAAGTGGAGACATCTTAAGAGCAGATGAATGAAGCGGGCTTGCCTCGTGCCTGGAGCTGTGAGGAAGATGTTTTATGCCAGCGATAAAAGAGACAATCAAGGGCTTGACTACCCAGTCAGTCAGTTCGTGTTTGACGCCCCCCAAAACCCAAACCCCCCCAACTGTCCATCCATCACCATTTATCTCCATGTCTCTCTTGACCTTGGTTTTTGAAGTGAGAGAACAAAACGCAGTCTTTCTCTCATGTGTCTTGTCTGCTTTGCTTTTTGCACATACAGAGACATTTACACCCTCCCTCCCCCATTCCCCACCACCACCATCCTCTTTTTGCACTGGTGGTGCGTAGTGTGCGTGGGAGACCGGACACACACGTAAAGGAATGTCCACCAAAGACTGCATGGGGGTGGGAGTCTATTTTCTTTTCTCTCATATAGTAAACAGCTTAACATGCAGCAGCCGTCGCGCACATCACTGAACCACGAGGTTGGCTTGGAGATGAACCTGGCGCTGCGCTCTCACGCACGCGCGCACGCACGCGGACATGGCCTCTCTCGCTCTCTCCTCCCCCCCCACTCCCGACGCTATCCTCATTTTTATCTATCCGTGGGCAAATGGAAAGCTGGAGCGCAGCGGCACCGCGGACACGCGTGATTCACAGGCAGGTAGACCCCCCCCCCCTCCCCACATCCTTCACCTCCTTCCTCTCCTCCTCATCCTCATCATTAGTATTCACCTCCACCGCCGTTTTCAGAAAAATGAAAAGGCGAGGATGCGTGCGTGGAGAGACAGCATCGGCAAAGTGGCTCGTAAGAACTTACCTTTCGACAGCAGAACCAGGATCACACCAGCGAAGGCGTTCCACAAGAGGGGGCAGCCCATGATGGAGTTGTGATTGATTTTCTGCTTGTTATTGCAGCCAGATGCTTCGGTATTCCTCCTCTTATCAAGCCGCTGCGCACAATCTGTGTGTGAAGACACGGAGCCAGTGGATGGATGTCAGCAGCAATAGTCCAAACGTTTCTACATGTGACAGGAAAACACCAGTCTTCACTTTTCCTTCTGATGGTGGAGACCAGAAGAAGGGGGGTGGGCTGTTTATCTTCTTCTGTGCAGAATCTCTCAGCCAGGAAAAAAATATCAGAGCAGAAAAAAAAAACAGAAATCCCAGACACTTTATAGTTTGTGCCTTTTTTTAAGAAAAGAGAAAATGTTAGAAAATGCACGAGCAGAGAAGGTAAATCTGTTTCTGTCCAGTGACTTTAGAAGAAGATGTTGTTTGGGCAGAGAACGGGATGAGGTCTGCGCGTCCTGACCGGTCGCAAGTCGCCGCTTGTGCCTTAATTAGTCCGCTCCCGTGTGCCTCTGTTGGTATGCAGCGCGTCTCGTCGCTCCGCACTCGGCGCGTCGCAGCCAGCAGCACTGAACGCGAGGCGCACAAGAAAAGAGCTTGATTGACGGTTCGAGCGGGGGGCCTCTCTTCCAATCACCAGCCCAAGGGAGGGAGGCGGGATTTACGATTGCACCGATGCCCGGCCCCGATTGGCCGGCGGAGGCGCACGGTGCGCGCACGGTGCGCCTCCGCCGGCCAATCGGGGCCTGGCATTGGTGGGCGGGCGAAGAGCGAGGCGAAGCGCGGCGCGGTGATAATGCAATGTGATTTATAGCCAGTCCGGTGTTGCTGCAGTACTCAGAGAGAAAACAGTCCACAGGGGGACAAGCAGGCATAATAAGTACAGGGACAGAGGTGGAGGGGGTGAGTGAGGGGCAGGTGGAGCCATATGGACTCCTGTGCGCGCGTATTTTTGGAGACTTTGGATAAAACGAGGAGGAGACAAGAGTGACAGGTTGCGCTGCTGATGAGCAGATGTTACTCAACTGAGGATAATGAATATTGCCAGAGCAGAGGAGGAGAAGATTGTAAAGTGAGGAAAGCTGCACCCGTACACGAGGTGTACGTGACGAATAAAAAAAGATAAACTTGAATTGAAGAGGGCGATGATAACAAATCCAGATGCCTCAGAGAAGGGCAGATAAATATGAGTGATTTGTTGGATGTGTGTTGAGATGGGGCCTTTCTTAGTGGATGGATATATTCCCAGTTGAAATGTTTACAGCTAAGTTATGGGGGAGACTTTTCCAGTCCAATCACAGTGCTTTAATGTCTCATTCACCCATTCATATTCACACAGGAGCAATGAGGATTTGGGTGTCTGGCTCGAGGACACATTGACACACGGCTGCTCTACCAGCTCAAGCCGAGATTTTGGAATGATGTTGTAACAGTGATCTCCACTGTCATCAAATCAAGCAATATAGTTTGGTAGATTGTGTTTCATTAGAAAGTTCCATGGCCACAACTCGAGTCATCAACAAGTACGTCGTTAGTTAAATGTGTCAACATCACAATTTGCTTTTCACATGAAAACATCATTAAGAGGTTGCTCAAGTCACAACAACAGAAAACATTATTAAAAAAAAGATTCACTCATTTTTTCCCAGGGTTCTGGCAGGAGATGTCCCAGAAAATGTCTGCAGCAACTGACTCTGACATTTGCGTCCTCACCCACAGCATCTCTGAAGTTTTTCAGGAAAATGTCCAGACTTCAGGTCCTGTCTGAAAACAGCTTTTGACATTTTATGTTGGTTTTTCAAATAATCTGTTGAACCGGCAGTACATTGTGGGTAGACAGGACAGATTGTAACAACCCTACAGAAAACACACCATCTGATCTTGCTGTTGACTTAATGGCAGGCAACATAAACCCTATTATGAAGACAGTTTATATTTATGCGGAAGTACTTATGAAGCATTCATAAACATGTTTGTCGCTCACTCTCTGGGCTGTGAGAGATGCTAAACGCGCAGTTGCCTATAGTATAAAGATTTTATTTCAACAAAAGACCATTTGCATGATGAGCTGATTGGTTTTAGCCGTGAAACTTTCCAGAATAAAAACCTGCCGATGACTTACAGTCATCTTGTATCATATCCGTGGAACCCCTCAGTCAGAAACACACGGTGCCCACCAGGACCGTTCCTACAGAATTTGCTGCATATTTAACATTATTATTTTTCTTATAACTGGTGAATTATTCAATTTATGACAGATTAACTTGTTTCTTTATCCTCCACGCAACCAAATCAATGCTTTATTGCTGCGGAGTGCATAAGTAATAAAGCACTGCTTTACGGTGTGTGGTTTTTGGACAGAGTTAGAATAAATACAGTGGAGGATAAACTGACTGCTTATCTGCCCCAGAAGACGGATAGATGAATTATTTAGAGTGAAGGATTCGTTTGTAAATACCTATCACTCACTCGTAATTAAATTTGACATGTTGGTGTGAATCAGGAGTCGTGTTGACGATGTTAACCTCCGGCTCATTTCATCATATTTTAAATTTCACCTTCAGATAGATAGATAACAGCAACAGAGCAGCACACAAACAATAGCAAAATTGACATTACAAGTAAGTGAATAAAGAGAACAGGCTTAGTCTTCGGCCTGAGGGAAACCCCAATTCAACATGGCTTATACACCCGTAACTATATTGTTTGTTCAAAACAAGCCTAGCACAGTATGCTGTTTGTCTAATCAGCGTTTCCTCCTCTGCCTCCTCCTCTTCGTTTGGACTTAGAGTGTTCGCCGCAGGACTGTTATTGTACAGTGGCACAGAAACACCGGCTCTGCGTGACACTCAAAACTCTGATCCCGGCAAAACATACCGTGCGCTCAGTTTGCAAAGTTTCATTAATAGAATTCATGATTGCAATCAGTGGTTCAGCTGGGTTCCCGTGTACTCACAGATATTATTTATAGACCTGTCACAAGTTGCAGTTTGTTTGCACTGCGTTGTTCCGAGTCATTCGATGAATGGAGAAAACACCTGCTGAAATGTTGACACGAATTTGCATTTTGACTCAGGTTTTACAAAGCCAATTACCCTCAGACCTCGCAGCTCCCATCACACCGTATGACATCCTGAGCGCAGGGGAAGCGGGTTTGCAAAGAGGCTGAGGTGGATTTCATAGGCTGAATCCCAATGTGCTTCCATGCTTGCAGACTGAGACCTTGTGGATTTTTTTTTTATACGTGCAGTGACATCTTCACCATCTGAACGGGTTTATCATAGGTTTTGTATGGTAAATGCCCAGGGCTAGAATAAACAGGAATGGAAAAGAGCTAGTTTTAATGCCTTATATCTTCTGGCTCGTCAGTTAAGAGTCGTCTTTGCCGTCTTGTGCGATGTGTTCAAATGTCATCCATCTAATAATCATTAATATGAGCATCGAGCTGAACCGGAGGCATTCTGGAGACTTGGAAATACTGAGAATCATTGAACAGAGAGTGATGGTGGACACTGATTTTAGACTACATGCTGGAAGAAGATGTTTAGAGAAAGAGAAATACTTGAAAAGAAAACCAAAAAATAATCAAATGAAGGTCAGTGGACAAGAGGCAGAGGGAAGTTTAATTAGTTAGAAATGTGTGTCTGTGTGTGTGTTTGTGTGTTTGTGTGTGTGTGTGTGTGTGTTAGCTTGCTCACCAAATTAAAGACGTTGGCTGAAGGCAAAGTAATGCAAAAGACAAATGAAGGCAAGCGCCTCTGTCCAGCAGTAATGTTTAAAGTGGATGGAACCTAATGCAGCACTAAAGCCTCTCAGGTCTCACAGAAGAGCAGGAGACTTTTTCCTCTTCCCCCCGAAGGCAACACTAATTAGAGTAGTCATCTTAGAGCGCTGACCTTTTGTAGATTTGCTGGTTTTACCTTTAGTCTCGGCTGCAGCAGACTTTCTTTAAAATCCGTTTTTCTACTTATTGATTCAAATGCAAAAAAAAGTGTTATACTGTCATCGTCTCTGTGTTTAATGACTTCACTGAGTGTCCATTTTCTTGTAGTCTGTCCCACCGCCCTGACCTAACAAGCTTCTCGGGCTGTCATGGTGAAGTCGGAGCAAAGATGTTTTTTTTCTTTCCTTGAGTGTTAAGTCACAGTGATTGGGGCTTTGCTGTAGCTCATGATACACAGTGAATGCATCATTACTTTGCAGGGAAGGAAAAGTGAGGCACTTAGATTAACTGAAACTTAACTGTATTTTGCAGCTATTTAAAGAATGCAAGATGGAATTTCTTGTCTTCCACAGCACTGTTCCTAAAGGCCTTTCCCCATGGTTGGTGGGTCCACGTGGTGGTGGCTACAGGCTCCAGGAGCGAGCCCCGGTTTCCCTTTTCTGGGTGAGGTTACACAAATTCCATGTTGCCTTTAAATATGGGTTTTGTCTGGGACCATTTTGCCTTGGCAAATCCCACTAGGGGGCTGGTTCCCCAGACAACACAAATCCCAGGTTCACCAGGAAATACAAACCCCTCTGTCATGATAAGGTGGTAATTCACAGAGGAGAAGAGACTGAAAGAACAAGACTGCAAGTACAAGCAGGCAAAATTTGATTTCTCCATAGCCGGACTCAGCCCTAGAGATTGGGTGAGGAGTTCAGACATCCAGAGGGAGCTCAGAGTAGAAATAGGACAGTTGAGGTGTTTGGGGCATGTAGTCAGGACGGCTGGGTTCCTTGTAGAAGGAGAACGAGGGAGAGACCCAGAACTTGCTGGATGTATTTCACATCCCATCTGGCCTGAGAATGCTTGGCTGGGGAGTGGGACACCTGGTACCCCCTACTATGTGGGCTACCTCCGTGGCCCGAGCCCTGATCAGTGGAGAATAAGAAATGAATGGAAGATGAAGCATAAGTGTGCACATGCTTCAGGCTAAACTTAGTCCCTGAGCAGAAATGAGAGTAATTTTCCATCCAAAGTGAGTATAAAGCAGACCTGTACTCTAATGTCAGATGTTGGCACCTTGACTGTAAGGACAAACACAGAAGGACACCTTGCCAGACTTGTTTTTGGGAGCAGTGCACTTTATGCAAACATGTCTGACTTGGGAGGCCATGGGAACCTGTCCCTGAAGTGTCTGCTGTAGAGCTTCCAGTTGGGCTGTGACATCCCCACCATCCTGTTTAGTATGATAATGTATGGAGATGCGGGCGCAGACACTTTTTCCCTCTTTCCCCTTGCTCTATCTAAAAGCCCCCCGCATTAATTGGCATGGCAGAGGCGGCAGTCACTTGGTTGTAATCACTGTCCCCCGGAGAACCTCACTGAGAAATGATTGAAGGAGAGAAGGATGGAGGGAGAGTGAGCGAGCAGCCTTTGGTCTCGAAAGGCTTGTCCTCTGAATTATGTTATCCCAAGAGGTGCAAGGAAGCAGAAAGACAGGGAGGGGACAAGCTAGAGAGGAAGATATGGGATGAGAAGGGAAAAGAAAGGGAGAAGCTTTAGAGGAAATTGTGATGTGAGC